CTGCACACATAGGTCACTGTGAGTCAGAATCGACACAATGGCAGCTAACAACAACAAATAAGAGGTGAGGACTCTTAATCACAACACTATGATAACATCTGAAAAACAATACTAATTCTTAGGGTAAAAAATACGTTAAAAATAATACTAATTCCTTAAATCATCTAATATCCAGCTACTATTTAAGTTTTCCCAATTTTCTTATTAATGTTCCTTTTTTTCTGGTTTGGTTAGAACTGGCTTCCAGGGTCCCACACACAGTTTATGATTGCTGTGTATACTAGGTCCACAGAGGGCTTCCTAGGTGAGCCCTGAGGGCAAAGAACATGGGTGGTCCTGAGATAATGTCAGGCAGCCAGAAGAGACAAAGAGGGGTAAGAAAGGCAGCTCTGCTTAACAGATCATGTAGTAGGTAAGGTAATGTGTCAACTTGGCTGGGCCTAGTTGAGGGGCAGGGTAGCTGGATTTAAGTTACTCACCATGGTGAGACTGGTAATCAGCTCCATGATGGAATCTACTGAAGTAGCTTGGGGATGTGGTCTGCTCCCACTGTATAAGAAGAAGCTTCAAGAACAGTCTGTAGCCTTTGGCATGCTTGAATCCTGCATGTAGCCTAGTTGTTATTCGGCAGCCTGCCATGTGATCTGCCTAACTTGGGACTCTTTGTTGTTTGTTGCTGTGTGCCATCGAGTCGGAGACGACTCATGGCGACCCCTCCTTGGGTTTCCGAGGCAGTATCACTATGGAAGTAGATTGCCCCATCTTCCTTCCGAGGAGTGGCTGGTGGGTTTGAACCACCAGCCTTCTGGTTAGCAGCAAATGCCTTAGGCACTACGCTACCAGAGCTCCTTAGGACTCTTAATGGACTTAAATCAACAGCCTGCTGTGTGGTTTGGTAGTATTGGGACTGTGCCTTTTTACTTGTCAACCTGGGTTTGTTAGCCTCAGCAGCCAGCAGCTGCCTGAGTGAAGAAAGCCCCCAGCTCCAGTGGGCTGGGAGCAAGAGGCAGAGCTGAAGCCCAAGGTCGAGGGAGGCGCTGTTACCCAGCCTCTGGAATCTGGTACTTTGAACTTGCAATTTTAGCCTCCGAAATGGGAAGAGAATAAACTCCTGTTTGCACGGCCATCCCATTTGTGGTATTTCCTGTTAGAGGGCCACTAGGTAACCAAATCAGGTAACTGTTTCCCAGCTTCCTAAACCATGACTGAACCCCTGGTTTAGAATATATGCCTGCTGTCCTCCTGAAGAAATTTCTACTGTGAGCACAATCCTACCTACTCAATGCTCCTAAGCAAAGCTCAACCAAAGCCCTACACGTAACCTACACAAATGCCAAAGAGTACAATGGTAGTCCTGGGACACAGAGTTAATATAAAACATAGAATAGTAAATCTTTAAAAATATATTGAACTCTGTATAAGAGAACAGTGCATCAATGAGGAAACAAAACAAAGTATTAGTGGTAACCAGAGCTGGGAGGGAGGGGAAAAGGGGAGTCCTGTTTAGGGCACAGTGAGTTTTGTTAATGGTTGAGGAATAACTTGGAAAATGACAGTGGTGATAACTGCACAACATGATAAGCATAATCAACGTCACTGAATTATACATGTGAAAACTGCTGACTTGGCAAATGTTTTGTTATATATATTTTTACCATGATAATAATAATAATAATAATAAAAACATAAAAAAAAGAACAATCTAAGTATTTAAAAAAGAGTTCTTACAAAAACACGATTAGAGGAAGGAACTCAGCAAAAAGTCTGAAAAGGAGAATTGGCATAAGTGAAAACTGAGTAAGCAAAAGTAAGAGTGAGATGGAATAATGTGAGCAGAGACAAGCTGGATGAATCTAGGAGATCTAATATCTGTTCAATAGGAGTTTCCAAAGAAAACAACAAGGAGGAGGGAAAGAAGTAATACAAGAAAGTTCCCTGAGTCATCAGGCCAAATGATACTGTCACGTTTAAGCAGGAATAAAGGAAAAAACCTTTACCTAGAAGCATCCTGACAAAATTTCTGAAATTCTGTATTAAAACCAACCTACCAATCCCAACAAGCCATCCTTAAAAACTTTCAAGGGAAGAAATAAGATTCCCTACTGTGGTGGTTAAGTTTATGTGTCAACTTGGCTAGGCCTGGTTGAGTGGCTGGGCAGCTGGTGGTAGTTACTCCCCATGATGAGACTGGCAATCAGCTCCATGGTGGGACCTACTACAAGCAGTTGACTGGATGTGGTCTGCTTCCCGTATATAAGAAACAGCTTTAGGAATGGTCTCTAGGTTATGGCATGCTTGAACCCTGCATGTAGCCTGTCATCGTTCAGCAGCCTACTATGCTCTGCCAACCTTGGGACTTTCAATGGATTTGAATTAATAGCCCCCATATGGTTTGGTAACATCAGGACTATGCCTTTTTACTTGTCAACCTTGGGTTTTTCAGTCTCAGTAGCTAGCAGCTGCCTGAGTGAAGAAAAGCCTCTAGCTCCAGTCGGCCGGGAGTAGGAAGCAAAGCTGAAGTCCAAGGTTGAGTGGCTTTCACCCAGCCCCTAGAGCCTGGCACTTTGAACTCGGACTCAAAGGCTCCAAACTATTAAAGAATGAATTCCTGTTTGTTAAGGTCATCCCTTTGTGGTGTATTTCTGTTAGAGCAGTTCTAGGTAACCAGAACACCTACAGAGAAACAGGAATCAAATTTACACTTGAGTCTCATCTAAGATACCTCCCAGAAGTCAATGGTGCATTGTCTACAGATTCTTTGGGAGGATAGGGAACCTGGAGTTATTTATCTAGCCAAATTTTCATTTCAAAATGAGGTCAAAAGAAAGTAATTTTCAGAGCATGAGGCTTTAGAATCAGACAGACCTGGGGGTTCAAATCCCTACCATACTTTTTACTAGTATAGGTAGTCCCTGACTTAGACTGTGGCCTTTTTTTTTTGGTACTTATCTTGTGACTAGCAGTAGTACAACATACAATGTTAAAATGTATCTCTAAGTTTATATGCAATGTTTCCAACACCCAAAGACAAATAAAAATCAGACTTATAAAGCTACTGATAATAAAAGGTGGTAATAATGAAAAATAAAAAAAGAGGTATCCAACTAACATCAGGACTTAGGATAGAGTTGCTGGAATGGAACCCTGCTATAAAATGGGGACTACCTGTAGTGTGATGGAGCTCTGGTAGCATAGTGGCTAAGGCACTTGACTGCTAACCAGAAGGCTGGCGGTTCAAACCCACCAGCCACTCTTCGGAAGGAAGGTTGGGCATTCCTACTTCCGTAGTGATACTGCCTCGGAAACCCAAGGAGGGGTCGCTATGAGTCGGGGCCGACTCGATGGCAAACAACAACAACAACAACAACAACAACAACAACCTGTAGTGTGATAATCTCTTAGGATGATTAAGTAAATGGAAATACATTACTCACCACCTTAGTTAATGGAACATTTAAAGGAGAAAATACATTCACAAAGTGCCTGATATGAGGGGGAAAGATGAGGCTTTGCCACTCAGAAGCTCATTCAGAAATCATGATGAAAAAAACTGCTTCACAGACTAACACTGTCTAAATTCAAATATAAAGAACATTTTGTTGGATGATCTCTCCTTTCTCATATTCTCTGATGGCAGTCTTACTATTGTCCTAGACAAAACATGCCACTTCTACATGACTACCCCTATGAGCTCCTAGTCTCTGGTGACCAGGCATTCAGCAGTCCTGAATAGACCACTGACACAGCATTTTAGGCCACCAAACACCAAAAACCAAACCCACTGCCATCAAGTTGATTCTAACTCATAGAGATCCTATAAGACATAGTAGAACTGCTCCTTAGGGTTTCCAAGGCTATAAATCTTTAAGGAAGCTGACCGTCTCATCTTTCTTCCACAGAATGGCTAGGGGGTTCAAACCACTAACTTTTTGGTTAGTGTGGTGGTTATGTTTGTGTGTCAACTTGGCTAGGCCTGGTTGAGTGGCTGGGCAGCTGCTGGGAGTTATTCCCCATGAGACCGGTCATCAACTCTATGGTGGGCTCTACCACAAGCAGCTGAGTAGCTGCTTTGGGTATGTGGTCTGCTTCCCATATATAAGCAGCAGCTTTGGGAATGGTCTCTAGCTTATGGCACCTTGAACCCTGCATGTAGCCTTGTCATTGTTCAGCAGCCTGCCATGCTCTGCCGACCTTAGGTCTTACAATGGACTTGAATTAATGGCCTGCTGTGTGATTTGGTAATATCGAGACTGTGCCTTTTTACTTGTCAACCTTGGGTTTGGCAGTCTCAGCAGCCAGCAGCTGTTTGAGTGTCTTTAGCTTCAGTGGGCTGGGAGCTGGAGGCAGAGCTCCAAGGCTGAGGGGCTTTCACCCAGACCCTAGAGCCTGGCACTTTGAACTTGGACTTAAAGCCTCCAAACTGTAAGAGAATAAACTCCTGTTTGCTAAGGCCATCTCATTTGTGGTATATTCTTGTTAAGAGTGGCACTAGGTAACCAGAACAGTTAGCAACCAAATACCTTAAGCACCGTACCACCAAAGCTCCTCTAATTTCCACAAGAAGGCGGAAAATCCATAAAATTCATATAAAGTCACAAAGAGTCAATATTTCATAGACTAGAAAAAAAACAATCACCACAAAACCAGAATGCTTAAAAGTAACCATGGTCTAGAAATTACAAATTAACTATGACAATGAAATTATGGCCCAATCTTAGCCAAAAAGTAGTATTAATAAGGTGACATGACAAAGTAAGATATTTTATTACTTGTTAAAATACATGGTAACTGTTAGAATCCTTAATCTGCATTTAAAAAAATTTAATGTTGAATACTTGTTTCTGTTATTCTTCTCTATGAAGTTAATATGGAAACACCTTAAAGTAAACACAAAACACAGCTACAGATGCATGGGTACCACAGACTGTGAGCAGAGGAAACGCACACAAATACCGTACACTGTGTAGAAGGGACAACAAACAACAAGGTGAGCAGCTCACCTCTTCTGTCCTTTGAGTCAGAATTACCTGTATGGTAAGTGAAAAATAGAAACATTCACTCAGATTAAAAAGACATTACTATTCACTCTAAAGTAAGACAAAACAGGCTCCAGGAATATAGCTATTTTCCTCCATGTATTATGTTGGGACTAGAATGAAGCAACTTCCAACAACTGGGAAATGAGATCGCCCAGATTCATTACATTTCTGTCAGTGCACTGTTTGTTCTTCTCCATGACTACATACACAAACAATGTAGCATCAATATCCATAAACCAAAAGATACCACGATGCAAAGAGAAATATAAACACAACAGTATTGGAGGACTTTATGTCTTTTGGTCCATTAAACGAAAGAGGGCAAAATTAAGGAAGGACATTCAAGGCATAAATGATAAATGTTGTTGTTACGTGCTGTTGAGTTGATTCCGACTCACAGCAATCCTACAGGACAGGATAGAACTACCCATAGGGTATATAGGGTTTCCTAGGCTGAATCTTTACAGGAATGGATTGTCCTTTTTTCCTGTGGAGATGCTGGTAGGCCTGAACCACTGACCTTTAGGTTAGCAGCCAAGGGTTTAACCATTGTGCCACCAGGGCTCCTAAATGATAATGATGTTGTTGTTGTTATGTGCTGTCGAGTCAGACCCGACTCATAGTGACCCCTCCCCTGGGTTTCTGAGGCAGTATCACTATGGAAGTAGATCGCCCCATCTTCCTTCTGAGGAGTGGCTGGTGGGTTTCAACCACCAGCCTTCTGGTTAGCAGTCAAGTGCCTTAGGCACTACGCTACCAGAGCTCCTAAATCCTAATTAGTATATATCAAATCTTATAAACTAACGACAGAGAAAACACCTCCTTTTTAGAGGCCTGTGAAATATCCACAAACCCTTATAAATTCCCCAGGGTAGAAACAATATTCTTTTATCATGATGCAATATATCAGATTACCAAAGTAAGAAAACACTGGAGAATTAAAATCAAAACCACAATTGAAAAATATTTAAAATATAACAATAATTAAAATACTTCTGTGGCAAAACCCACCAACTCTTCCCCCAATATCAGTCTCTTCCTCTTCCTGCCTTTGGTACAGAACCTCTGTTTTTTTCAGCCAACCACAAGCTGTCCAGTTAGAGACCGTATTTCTGAGACTCCTCTGTGCTAGATATAGTCATGTGATGAATTCCAGTCAATGGGAAGTGAGCAAAAGTGATGTGGGTAACTTCTGAGTCACATCCTTTGGAAAGGAAATCGCTTGTTCCTATTCCCTCTGTGAGCCACCTCTGACCAAGCAGATGAGGGCAATACTGTCAGGATGACAGGAACAGGACAGAAAAAAATCTTGGTCTCTGAGAAGGCAAAGCCCTCTCTGCCTATTTCTGGAATATGACAGAAGAGAGAAACAGATTTGGGTCTTACTGAACCTACCGAATTTTAGTATGTCTGTGTCAGAGCAGCTTAGACTGCACCCTAACTAATACAAATACTGGAGCATCTATAAGACATGGATAAAGCAGTGCTTACAAACAAATTCAAAGTATTAAATATTTTAATTATCTGGAAATAATGAAAAGAAACAAATTCAAGAAGCTAGAAAAGGCACAAAACAAATCTAAGAAAGAAGAACATGAAAAACTAAATGAAATGAAAAACTGAAAAATGATATAAGAAAAAGCAACCAACCATGAAATAGATAAATAATTAACTTAAAACAAGAAATAAAAAAAAAGGGAGGGGGAACACAAGTGTATAAAATCAGATATATTCATAACTATGTAGGAAATTAAGCAATCATAAAAGATGACTTTTCCTCAAATCCTGTCAAATAAATTTGAAAATACGAACAAAATACAGTTTTCCAGGAAAACTTCCAAATACTTTCCCTGAAGCAAAACAAAGCACTGACAACTAAACTTATCAAAAATAGCACATTCAGAAAGGAAAAATACAGACCAATGTCATGGAGGAGTAATTTACATGTATGAAAATGAAAAATGTCCTAAATAAAATAATATTAGACAGATTGCAACAATTCATTTTAAGAATAACAAAATGTGACCACTGAGCAGTTGTTTTTGCAGGAATGTAGACAGCCCAAAATTAGGAAGCCCATTAATGCAATTCAATGTAACAGATAGATCAAAAGAGAAAAATCATGTGGCTGTTGCCACTGATGCTGAGCAAGTATTTGGGAAACTAAAGCACTCATTCTTGATAGAAACTCTTATTAAAATAGGGATAAAGTGATATATCATGAATATGATTTAAAAAACATAAAAGGGTCTACCTGAACCAAGAGTTTGCACTATGTTTAATGGAAAATCACTGGCAGCATCCCTATTAGAGTCAGATATAGGACAAGGCTGTCTGCTTTTATCACTATGGTCTAACTTTGTTTTCGAAGTATTCACCAATGCAATTAAACAGAAAAAAGCAAAAGATAGTTGTAGATGAGATGATCTGAAGACCTAAGATAACTGTTGAAGAAAAGTACTTTAAACACAAAGAGTATTAAAATGGCCAGTACAAAATATATCTACAGAAGTCAACTGCCTTCATATCACCAACAGTAGCCAGTTAAAAGATATATGCAACAAAATATTTCATTTATATTAAGATTTTTTGCAACCTATATCATGGGCAAAAGACTCATTTTCCTAACACAGAGCGTCTCTACAAATATCTAGAAATAAACTGAACAAGAAATGTGTAACATCAGTGCCACCCTTTTTTTTTAAACTTTTACTGTGGTAAAAATATATACAACAAGACATTTACCAACGTAACAACTTCCCTATTTACAGCTCAGGGACACTGATGGCATTCTTCATGTTGTGCCACCATTATTGCTGTCCTTTTCCAAAATAGTCCAAGTGGGAAAAATTTTTAAAGCTTCCAAGAAATACAAAATAAGATTTGAGCAAATGGAATATAGCACATTCTTGAGCAGAAAGACTCAACATCCCAAAGATGTCAATTCTCCCTGTTAATGTATAAATTTCACATAACAAATTTTTTTTCTAGCTAGACAAGCTGATTCTAATGTTCATCAGAAAAAAATCAAGAAATGCTAGCAAACTTCTGAAAAATAAGATTAACTAGGGATGATTCACCTTACCATATATTAAGTAATAATAAAAAACAAACCCACTGCCATCAAGCAGATTCTGATAGTGACCCCCCCATTGGGTTTCCAAGGCAGTAAATCTTTATGCAAGTAGATTGTCTCATCTCCCTTCTGTGGAGCAGCTGGTTGGTTTGAACCACCAACCTTCTGGTTAGCAGTCAACTGCCTCAGGCACTGCACCAGCAAACCTCCTTAGATATTAAATACTTTAAAAATTTATAATCATTAAAATAGTGGGATTTAGATGAATAGACAAAAAGGTCAGTAGAAACTACAATAAATGGCCCTAAACAGAACTCACATATACATGGGAACCTAAATATGTATCAGAATTCAATATAACATAAAGGTAGCATTTAAAATCATTAAGGAAAACAGACTATTCATTAAAGGGTATGGGGACAATTAAATAGGCGTAAGAACAGATTCACAGTATTCTTTTTGAAAGAATACTCTGAAGACAAACACTTCACATCAAAATAAATTCCAGACAAAGATTTTAAACACACACAAACGTATGCACACATCACATGCTCATGCTAAAGAAACCATAAAAGTCCAGAAGAAAACATGAGGAAAATTATTTTATAATCTTGGAGTAAGGAAAGTCTTCCTAAATACTCAGTACCCCAAAAATATTGTTAAAAAAACTGCTATTTTTTTTTTTAATTAAAAAATGCAAATGGTAGTTTCTAAAATGCAGACAAGTTAAAAGCAAGATGTCCAACTAGAAAAAATATTGCAACTTACATCATAAGCAAAAGACTCATTTCTCTAACATATAAAGAGTTCCTACAAATAAGTCAGGAAATCCTAACATCCTAATATGAAAAATGGGCAAAGGATATCAACAGAAAGTTTTCAGAAAAAGAAATGTAAACAATCCTTTGAAATATGGAAAATGCTCAAACTTACTCAGCGAAACGCCAATTAAAGCTATTTCTTACCTATCAAATTGACGATTCAGAAGTTTGAAAATTCACTGCACTGGAAATGGTGCAGAAAACAGGCATTTTAAAACACTGCTAACAGGAATACATATTACAGTAGAGGAAAGCTCGGCAATATTCATCAATTTATAAATGTTCACTTAAAGTAATTTATCCTATCAACATCTCATACAAGTTTGAAAGGCCACACTTTACTTTTTGAAAGAATACTCTGAAGACAAACCTTAATGTCCGTAGATGGGGAGACTGGGTAAATATATTAAGATATAACCATATAATGGACATACAATCATTAAAAATGGGCAACACAGTTCTTGATTATAACATAGAACAAGTATAATAGGCTAAGTGAAAGTGAAGAAAGCCATGTGCATAAGTGTGTACAGTATATTATTTGTGTTATAAATGTAAAAGAAAAGGAATATATATACATTTGCTTATTTAAAAATGGGAGCTCTGGTGGCATAGTGCCTAAGGCATTTGACTGTTAAGGCTGGCAGTTCAAACCCAAGAGCCACTCCTCAGAAGGAAGACTGGCCAATCTACTTCCCAGATACACAACAAACGCAACACACTGCTGTCAAGTCGGATCTGACTCATAGCGACCCTTCCTTGGGTTTCCAAGGCGGTATCGCTACAGAAGTAGATTGCCTAACCTTCCTTCCAAGGAGTGGCTGGTAGGTTTGAACTGCCAGCCTCTGGTTAGCAGTCAAATGCCTTAGGCACTATGCCACCAGAGCACCTCGGAAACCCAAGGAGGGGTCACTATGAGTTGGGACCAACTTGATGGCAGTGAGTTTTGAGTATGGCTACACAGCAGTAAATGGCAGAGTGGGATTCAAACTCAGTTAGTGCAGCCCTGTAGACTATGCTCTTAATTGCAAATGTGTTGCCATTACAGTAGAGTATGGGATTAAAGCAGGCAGGAGCAGGGTCTAGGTTGTAAGGTCTAGCTAAAATATGTCATCTGTAGTAACTAAATGACATTCAATTGATCAAATGTTTTTCACCTGATTATACCTAGGGGAGCTCACCATCTAACAGGGAAGAAACATTAGCCAAGGAGATAGAACACAGAAGACTTTTGCTACAGACGGCATCACAGTTACATAGTAGATGGGGAACGATTATGTCCTTTACTACCTGTGAGGGGCCCTCATCCTCTTTACGGACCAGAAACTCAAAGCTCAAAGAGTCAGAAACATGTTCTCCCTGACATGGTCTCACATCCACATCTCTAATTCTATCCTTGGAGCCACTTCCACTTCATCCCAGTGACGTGGGAGAGATGGGGGCTGATCTGAGGCCCTGAACAAACCAACAGTGCAACTTAACTGTTTCTCCAGGTACCTCTTTCTAATGCCAACCCTGGCCACTGGTCTCTCACCCTATAGCTAATTGTTATTAACATCTATATCCATTCTCCTTCCCATGTCTCCATGGATTCCTTCCTTTTCAAGGTTAACCTTATTACTCTTTTCATTTTGTCTCCTGCATCATCAATTAGGTCCTCTCTTTCTCTTGTATTTTAACCTTCTTTTCTTCTGTTTTTAAATACACATAAGCCTCCTCAATCTAACCAGATATTCTTGAAAATTCCTTAATGCTGACTTCATCTTTTCACTTGGGCAATTTTACTTATTTAAAGACTTCTTATGGCTAGAAAACACAGAGATAAAAGTGAATAAAATCAAAGAACAAATAGAAACCATCTTTAGTACCTGAAGGAGGGAAGGTTTCTGGTGTGGTTGCTGCAGTGCTGGAATTCCCCTCCCAGGGCTCTGTTTTGACATCTGTGAACTGGTTATCTGGAAGCCACGTTCCATTTGATGAAACTGTAGTAACTCTAGAATCAGTGCCTACTGTTCTTGTGGTCCCAATGTCAGAGTCTGAAGAATTGACAGTGGTTACATAGGTGGGTCCCAGAGTTTGATTGGGGCTGAATGTTGGTGCCAAGGGAAGAGAAGTTACTGAAGAATTTGGATTTGAAGTTTTGGTCTCTTCTTTAACTGGTTCTGTCATTGATGCTTTAATTGATCTTGTAACTTCTACTGAAGGTGAAACTATAAACACCAAAGAACACAGGAAATGGAACATGTGAGGTTCAAAAGTACACTTAGGAGGCACAAAGCAGGAAGCCTCAATAAGCTCTCAAATACTGAGAGACCAAACTGAGATTCCCTCCACCCCACACGTTATTTTCTAATGCTAGTCCCTTCCCATCTCCTTCAAAGGACTAATGTCTAAAAGGAAGAAAAAACTGGATTCTTCAATCATTCCTTAGATTTAATATATAGGAGTCTTAAATATCAGCAATTTATTTTATTTTCCAGAATGAACACATAATTGTTTACCTTACTTAAAAAGGTATGCAAACAACCAGACAGAAACAACTAGAATGTTGACTGACACATTGTGAAAAATGTAACCAACGTCACTGAACAATTTGTATAGAATCTGTTAAACGGAACTTAATTTGCTGTGTAAACTTTCACTGTAAACACAGTATTATTTTAAAAATTAAAAAGGAAGCAATTAAGTAGTACAATTATAAATACTCAGTATGACCCAGACATTTCCAAAGATACTTATTTTACCAACTTTTAAGTAAAACTTTAAAACTCTTTTTCTTTTTAAAATACCAGCTAAGTCTTCAAATGTGGGTCCTTAAACGTGGAAGTAAAATTCTGTTCTGAACAACAGATTTATCGGATGACAATTTACCTGTGGTAGTATTATTGGCATTGACATATATCAGACCACTGCCAAGCAGAACAAGAATGAACCAGAAATCCATGTTGACCTGGAAAACAGAGAGCCACATTAGATGATGCCCTATATTACTGTAATTATTTCCAAACTATTCACCAAAGGAATATTTTGGGCAGAATCTTCTCAGCTTTTAGAAAATGCAAAGGACTGATGATCTTTTGGCAGTCTAATATGCATACTTCCCCAGAGTCCAGCTATTTAATTCAGTTTTTGCATAAATTAAATGGCACCCTGGGTGGTATAAACAGTTAATGAGCTTGGCTGGTAATTCAAAGGTTGGAGGTTCGAATCTATCTAGAGGCACCTTGGAAAAAAGGTCTGGTGATCTACTTCTGAAAAATCAGCCACTGAAAACCCTGTGGAGCACAGTTCTACTCTGACACACATACAGTTGCCATAAATCAGAATCAACTCCATGCCAACTGTTTTTTTCTTTTAATAAGAACATGCTTTTTAGAGCAGTGATTTTCAATCTTGGCTGCACATTAGAACCACCCAAACAGCTTTTAAAAATCCCTGTGCCAGACTGCATCAGAATCTCTGGAAGTAAGAGCTAAGTAATGGTCCTTTGTAAACTCCCCAGGTGACTCCTATGCTTCAGTCTTCTAAAAGATGGAGAAGTACGGAAAAGGCAGGTTGACGGTACTAAGGTACTATCCCGTGAAGGAGGCAGTATAGTGGCTATTCTTAATCTTCATTCCACCTCAAGTCATATCAGAGGACTGTGACATATTCCCATGGGTAACAATGGCTCATTCATCCACCAAGTCAGACTTCTGTGCCCCTCAAAAAACAGGGTACTAGGGACACAATCTGGGAACAATATACTCACAGGCCCCATCATCATGGGGTTCACAGCCTAGAGGTAATTTCATATAGTAGTGACTCTCCAAGAGAAGCAGGGTATGCATGCTTCCTCTAGATACAGGGGAAATGTAGGTTCTTATACATCCCAGGAGTAGTCAACACAAACTTTTGACCACTTCTCCACTCTTCCTAGGGTATGATCATGAAAAGAGTGATACATACTGGATTTTGATAACACTGTGAAAGATCTGAATACTGATCACCTCTGATAGAACCCAGCTCAATTACCACTTAACCTTAATCCAAAATTGGGAAAGCATACAACTCCTTCCTTAAGGGTCCGGAGACAGATTAGAAGGCTAATTATTGTATATGTTGTTATTGTTAGGTGCCACTGAGTTGGTTTCCATTCACAGCAACCCTATGTACAAAAGAATGAAACCCTGTCCGGTCCTGTGCCACCCTCATGATTATTGCCATGCTCGAGTCCACCAACTCAGCCACTGTGTCAATCCATCTTACTGAGAGTCTTCTGCTGACTCTCTACTTTACTTATCATGATATCCTTCTCCAGGAACTGGTCCCTTCTGACAACATGATCAAGGTAAGGGAGATGAAGTCTGACAATTCTTGCTTCTAAGGAGCATTCTGGCTGCACTTCCTCCAATACAGATCTGCTTGTACTTCTAGCAGTCCATGGTACATTCAATATTCTTTACCAACACCACAATTCAAATGCAACAATTCTTCTTCAGTCTTCCTTACTTTCATATGCATATGGGACTACTGAAAATAACATGGCTTGGGTCAGGTGCACCTTAGTCTTCCAAGTGACATCTTTCTTCTGAAACACTTTAAAGAGGTCTATTGCAGCAGATTTAGCATTTGGCTGCTAGCCAGAAGGCTGGCAGCTCAAACCTGCCAGCTGTTCTGAGGGAGGAAGATGAGGCAATCTACTTCCATAAAGATTTCCAACCTTGGAAACTCAATGGGGGTCACTATGAGTCAGAATCGGCTCAATGGCAGTGGGTTTTTTTGTTTGTTTACCTAATGCACTATGTTGTTTGATTCTTGACTGCTGCTTCCATGGGCAATGAGTGTGGATCCAAGGAAAATGAAATCCTTGACAACTTCAATCTTTTCTCCATTTATTGTGATATTACTTGTTCTAGTTGTGAGGATTTCTGCTTTCTTTATGTTGGGGTGTAATACATACTGAAGGCTGTAGTTTCTGATCTTTATCAGTAAGTGTTTCAAGCCTTCTTCACTTTCAGCAAGTAAGGTTGTATAATCTGTGTATCGCAGGTTGGTAATGAGTTTTCCCCCAATCCTGATGCTGAGTTCTTTTTAGTATAATCTAGCTTCTTGAATTATTTGCTTAGCAAACAGACTGAGTAAGTGTGGTGAAAGGATACAACCCTGATGCACACCTTTCCTGATTTTAAACCACGCAGTATCCCCTTGTTCTTTATGAATGACTGCCTCTTGGTCTATGTACAGGTTTGTCATGTACATAATCAAGCACCCTGGAATTCCCATTCTTCACAATGTTATTCATAATTTGTTATGATCCATGCCGTTGAATGCCTTTGTAGTCAATAAAACACAGGTAAACATCTTTGTAGTATTCTCTGCTTTCAGCCATGATCCCGCTAACATTAGCAAGGATATTTATTCCATGCCCTCTTCTGAATCTAGCTTGAATTTCTGGCAGTTCCCTGTCAATGTACTGCTGCAACCATATTTTAATTATCTTCATCAAAATTTTACTGGCATGTGATATTAATGATATTATTTGATAATTTCCACATTCTGCTGGATCATCTTTCTTTGTGTATGTATGTATACATGTCTATTTTTGATAAATTAATAGTGAATAGTGTTTACCTAATGCACATTTGATTTGATTTCTTGACTGCTGCTTCCACTGGAAAAATAGCAATGTATTTCATAGGAGGGGTTAGACCATCACTTCATTCCACATACCAAAATAAATCCCAGATGGACAAAGAATTAAATGTTTTACAACATTCTTAAAAAGTATAAATGTGTATTTATGTGAGCCCATGATGAAGGGCTCTTTAAGTACAAAAGCAATGAAAGAAATCACAAAGGTCAAAATTGAGTATCTGACAATAAAAACAATGTAAGCTATTACATGTAAAAGAAACCAATCATAAACAATGTTAAAAAGGAAATATACTGGGAAAACTATCACAAACAACTCAAGGGATTAAGACCATTAGCATACAAAGACCTTAAATATAAAAATGAAAACCATGATGATCCCAATTTTGAAAGAGCTGAAGAACTTAAACACATACTTTACAGAAGAAAACCAGCTAAAAAATACATTAAAAAGTGTTGATCATCCCCAGTACTCAGAGGAACACAATGACACAATATTTTTACTTTCCTAATCAGAAAAGATCAACCACATTAAATATTCAATGCAAGAGTCACATGGAAAGGATTCTCTCAAGTTGGTAGGAATGTCAATTAGCCTATAACAACAAACTCTTTTCCAGAAAGTTTACAAGAATCTTGAAAGTGTTCACATTGTTTTCTGACCTACTTCCAAAGTTGCAATCTTAAGTAAATGTAAATAATCTGAAACTCAGACTGAAATTGATATGTAAAGATATTCATTATAGTAGAAAATAGAAACTACCCAAAGATAGGGAAAATAAAAAAAGTTGAACATTATATTGGCACTCAAGAGATTTTGTACTGCTATTCATGAAAACGTATTCAAAGAATTTAAGAAAACAGAACAAAGCCTCACTTTTTTACTTAAAAGAAATAAAAAAGCCAGATATATACATTTTGGCATACACTTTATGATTTTTATTTTCTTCTTAATATTGTTCTTTATTTTCTAGAGTTTTAGAATAAACAGCATATTTTTACAAATAGAAAAAAAAAAAAAACAATGAAAGTTAAAATGAAAAATGATTTCACCAGGGTACGTAAACATAAGAAGTAAAATGGAAAGATACTGCAGAAGAACTGCATACCCCAAATGAAAGAATGTAAGCGAAAATAAGAAGTGTAAAGAAGATGGCAAGTTGGAGTGGATACGAATTTGTAAACTAGCACAAGTGAGAAATAGTCAGAATTTAAGAAGATCCGTATCACTTACAAGGTACATCCATAGACCACGACCAAGAAAACCCGTTTAGGCTTCATTCTTCTAAAAGGATATAAAGATCCTCAGGCATGGATACCTGTGAGTTCCTGACTCCCTATATATACAACTCAGGTTCAACCTCACCTATCTTGAGTTCCCCTGTTTTGAGTCTCCATGTATTCTATTCTAACCACAGACATCCACTTCAGAAAGTAGGGCTGAAGTCCTCCTCACTCAAGGATGCAAACCACTGGAGTCTGTCTAACAGCCCCTGCTCCTACAGGCTTTTCCTGCCCGGCTGTACAACTTCCCAGCACTCCTGTCAGTGAAGACTTTGTAATATGGCTCATAATTTTCTTCCCATCCCCAAGTCCTGACATCATCCTGAATGATGTAAACATCCTCACAAATGACACCCACCACAACCTGGGCCATTCTCTCAGTAACAAGACTTCCTCAACTCCAATGACCTTATACCTCTATTTTACTTGGGCCACCCACAACAATGGCTGCACTCTAGATTCTGTCATCATCCGGAAAAGCTTTCATACTGAATCTTACTTCCCACTCTCCAACTACACTTCCTCTCCTCACAGTTCTCCCTGTTATGTTTATTACATCTTTTCTCAGACTTCATCCAGGTCTTCAGCCCCTTGAACCCCTCTCTAATTCTCTTTCAAGTCTTTATTTCCTTCTCTTGCCAATCAAGAACATTTGGTGTCAATTAGACCATTCTCTTGCTAATATTTTAAACTCTTTTGCTTCTATATTCTTCTATTACATTTACTGGAAAAATCCAATCCTGAGCTAATGCAATTGCCAGATCTACACTTGTTGCTTAAGAAAATCAAGCAATCTAGAAGGTTGATAGCATTACAAATTGTTTTCTTAATGGAACTCTAAATACACTCTGCAATCTTCCTGTGTTTCCCTATCAGCTCTCTCTCCAATTCTCCATAGCAGCAATTTCAAACCTCTTCTTCCTTCCAACAGTCTCCTCCCACACTCTTGGCTGACGACCTTGCTTTCCTGTCAGAGAAAATAGAAGCCATCCAAACGGACACCTTCAACTCCCAGTCACCATTATC